TCAAATCAATACTTCTCCAATATCCACTGCTCGATTAATCAATTATCAATTCATCGAGGGTATATAATCTTTTAGATTAGCTTTGTTTAAGATTATAAGTTTGATAAGTGTCCTGAACTTCTTCTACTAATTTCGCTTGTACCTTAAAATTTTCTTCCTTTTCCTGTCCATCAAAACTTCCAGCTCTCATACATTTCATCACAGGCATACTCATTGATTCTACTTCAGGTTCAAAGAATTCTTCCATCATCTCATTTTCCATGTAACATTCTTTTTCACCAATATATTCTTAGTCTTTATGGCTATAGCTCATATCTGGTTACGGCTTTGGTTATTTTTTAAACACCCCAGCAATTTTTTTAAAGAAACCTTTAATGCCTCCTGAGGATATTTGCTTTTTTTCTGCTTTTGGAGATGAATATTTGAATGAATTCAAAGTTGCTTAAGGAAGTGCGCATTAATATGCTCCGGATTCTGCATAATCTTACATATCATATTATTATGCTCCTTATAATGCAAAATTTCCGAAATTGGAAGTATAACTTTATGATTGATATAAGCAATTGTAGTTATTTTATTGACTCATCTAATCGTAGTCATTTATTTTTTATAATGTATTCAACTTTGTTACCTTGAGTTCTCCAAGGGTTTAATCATCATTTTTGCTTACTGCTAAAAAAGAAGTCAATTTACTTAAAACTTAGTATTTCAAAGATAACTCCTGTATTTGCTTATCTCTGGCTGTCTAATTATAACGATTGCTTGATCCAAATACATCTTAATTAATCTAATTCATTTTCATTCTCGCTGCTATCTTAAAAATTTCATCTCCTCTTTCGATTGGCTAGAAATCCTTTTAATCCCACTCCTGATTTAATACTTTGTTTTAGATAGGATGAGTATCGCTAGTTAGCTTTAAGGAGAAACTATGTTATAATTCTTTGGGTATTATGATATAATACATGAAGACTTCATTTGCAAATAATTCATAGGTATCCTTACTCTCCATAGTATAGTTTAAAGTATTAGTTTCAATGATTGGAGTGTGATTTAGGCTGAATTTGCAGTTACTGTAGGAAGGATCCTTTGCCCTTGATAAGGCAGTAATCACCATACTTTTAAGATCTTTATTCTCCGCAACCATGCTAAAAGACCCTCTTCCTAGAATTGCACATTGTTTCACAAGCTCAACATCACAATCAAGTCCTACCCCAATGGTATGAATTCTGATATCAAAAGGACATGAGGCAGCTAAATCTAATACAACTTGCTTGTTATCTACTTCACCATCTGTTAACATAAAAATTCTTTTGTTTAAGGTAGTCTTGATATCATTAATTGCGTGGTTTAGAGGCTCATACAGAGAAGTGCCTCCCATTTCAGCATCAAAATTGTTTATCTCATTAATGACTTGATTCAAGTTTTAATCATTGTATTAAAATCCTTCAGGCTTGCCTGATAAAGTTTTAAAAATTGATCCAAATGGGATAACCTCAAATTATGATCCAGGTGGCAAAGATTTGAGAAATAATATTAAAGCCTGGCAAGTGATTGTATTTTTATCATCACTACCCATTGATCCACTTTGATCTACTATGAAAATATACATGCAGTCCCCTATACTGATATGTTGAACTGATTAAGGATCTGGCAATTCATCCTCTACTTCTTCAAATGAGTTGTGAGATTCCTCTTCAGTTGCAGTCTTTTAAATAAAGCTTGGAACAAATGAAAGCATCAAGGCAACTTCATCTGGATGGTTGTCTGATTCCTGAGAATACAAGACAGTCTTTTCCATGTCGCTGGTTCTGAAGTAAACAACCAATTCATTCTCAAGACTCAAAATACTTTGGCCTTCTTTACTAATTTGGACATGATGGATCTTTTCATCAGATTCAGTTTTATCTATTTTGGATTCGCTTGGGTAACTAAGGTATGTTATAGGACTGATCGACTGGATATCAGCATTAAACTAGTAGGTGTATCTATTTTATTCCAAAAAAAATGCTGGGAAATAATGTATTGGCAATCTTAAGCAATAAGCAGCTGCCTCTACTTTTAAAGTACTTAGGAGTTATAGATGAACTATTGCCATTTATCCCGGCAGTAAATTACCAATAATCAACTTGATTTCTTCCTTATCCTCTTCTTCTTAAGCAAGAGCAGCAGTGTGGCCAGCTGCAACGGCATCATCATACCTTTCCTGGGCTTTCTGCTTCTCAAGAATCTTACCCTCAATTATCTTTTCATCAATTTGTACAATCAGCTTTCCTACCCCATATTCCTGATCAACTGGCACATTTAGAAAGACTTCTAATGGGTCTGAAGTGTCATTGAAGTAGGTTTGAATTATCTCAATTGTAGCTATTGAGTTCATCACTCTCACATTGACTCTTTGATTCTTAAGGGGTATTAAGTATTATTTATCATCAACTTTAGCAAAAAACTGACAGCAAAGTTCTTTTTAGACTACAGTATTTTCCATTAAAAATATCTTATTAATGTTATAGATATTTTCCTCAGATTAATTATCTTACCCTTTCAGCTAAAATTTATAGGTCTGAATATTTATGATTTTCAACTATAATTTAATTTCCTATTTTTGCTTATATCTTAGCCATTCGGGGTTTTGGGGTTTTGGGGTTTTGGGGTTTTGGGG